CTTTTTGTAACTGGGACCAGTTACAGAAGGCATTGAACCCGTTCCCTCTAATAGCTGCTCTGGTGATTTTCAGGCCCAATTCAAAATGTTGGTTATCGCCTATAAACCCTATGCAGTCTGGGTCCAAGCTACCTGAGGGACGGTGTCTCTCTGCATGAGCCTTCCTCAAGATTTTCTGCAGAAGGCCTTCTCTCGGTCTCGTGGCCCTCAGGTACATTTAGGGATACAATAGATGGCCTTCTCTATGGGTGCTCCCACGTTGTGGAATGCTCTTTTTATCCTTCTGCTGACAGTTGAAGATCCACCTCTTTAGATAGGCTTTTAATAACCACCACGGAGTCCCTGGATGCTGGGTTTTTTGTTTTTCTAAGTGTGCTTTTGAAGTTTGTAAATGGTTTCTAATTACAGTGGTACCTCGACTTAACGAACGTAATCCATATTTGAATGGTGTTCGTAAGTCAAAATGTTCATACGTCGAAGCACCATTTCCCATAGAAATTCATTGGGAACAGGATTAATCCATTCCAGCATTTCAAAAAAATACCAAAAATAAAAATAAACAGAGCTGGGACTTTTTTAAAAAATCCAAAAACAAAACAACACAGCACAGAAACATAACCCCCCAGTCCAAACTCGCTCTACAAATCCCACCCAGAACAGTTTTTTAAAATGAAAAAGCAGCACCTTACCAGTCGGAAGCCTCCTGGGCTTCCACTGCTCCTGTGACCGCTGCCGGCGGGAGGCGAGCCTGGCAGGGGTGCTTCGGACACTCGCCTCCCAGCTTGCCTTCCACTTGCTCCGCACCACCCTCCATGGGCTGATGGCTGGAAATTCAAATGGCGGAGGGCAACGAGGAGCGAGCAGGAGGTGAGCCGGGAGGCGAGCAGCTGATGAAACCCGACCAGCTCAAGCCTCACACGCTGGGAGAACACTGCCTCCGTTGCAGCCGGGGGTGAACGGCCGAAGAAACACGGCCAGCTCAAGCCTCCTGGTGCTGGGCTACCACTGCCTCCACCACCCCTGCTGCCCCAGCCAGAGCACCCAGGAGGCTCAAGCCTCCTGGCTGTGGGCTACCCCACCACATCCCTTTCCCTAACCGTTGGGGTAAAAGAGCTACAAAGAAGCAGCCTCTTCACCACCAACAGTTCAAATTTCGCACCCTTTCCCCCTGCCTTTTTGTGTTCGTAAATGGAAGCTCCATTCGCAAGTCAAAGCAAAATTTTGTGAACGGAGCAGTTCGTAAATCAAAATGTTTGTAGGTAGGGACGTTTGTAAGTCAAGGTTCCACTGTATTACTATCTAATTCATTCATTGATTTGAAATTATTATTGAACGGTTGTTTCTTAACCTTGTAGTGTATTCTGTTTTTTGTGTAAATAATTTTAAAACTGTGAGCCACTAAAATAAATAAACAAATAAATAAATAAATAAAGCAAGCAAGCATACTTTCCACATACATTTTAACACCTTAACAATCTGCATACATGGTAAACTGCAAAGCAAGATATTGTATGCTTCCTACAAAATGGCTGTTTATTATTATTATTATCTATTTGATTTATATCCCGCCCATCTGGTATATTCTACCACTCTGGGCGGCTACCAACAACATATATACATTAAATAACACAAAACCATTGGTCTAATCAATAACAGAAACAGTGCACAAATACAATAAATAATGAATAGAGAAAGAAAAAAGAGTCAAGTGCTGACAGGAGGGAAGGAATGGATGAACATCCATGTTTTTAGTTGGGTTTTAAATGTGCCCAGCAAAGGGCCCTAGCGAATCTCCGGAGGAAGGTTATTCCAGAGGCGAGGAGCCACTGCCGAGAAGGCCCGGTTTCATGTCTTTTCCCTCCAAGCCTCCCTCAGCGTCAGGCTCCTCAACCTCACCTCCTGGCTCACACGGGTGATCCAGGTAGATCTTGGTGGGAGCAGGCATTCCGCCAGGTATCAAGGTCCTAAACCGTTCAGGGCCTTATAAGTAAGCATTAATACTTTGAAGTCAATACGGAAACGAATGGGCAGCCAGTGCAGCATGGCCAGAATAGGAGAAAAGTGCTTGTGTTTTCTCACTCCACTAAGGAGTCTGGCCGCTGCGTTCACCACCACCTGAAGTTTCCGCATCAGCCACAAAGGCAGCCCCATGTAGAGCGCATTACAGTGGTCTAATCTTGAGATTATGAGCGCCCCGTGTCAAGGTAGGGCCGCAGCCAGGCTATCCGCCAGAGGTGGAAGAAAGCGGTACGGACTACCGACGCCACCTGTGTTTCCATGGTGAGCGCCGGGTCCAAATGTATGCCCAAGCTGCGAACCCCACTCTTTGCAGCCAGGGTCACTCCCCTGAATGAGAGAGAGTCACCCACGCCGCCAGCCATGGGAGCCCCCACCCTCAGAACTTCCGTCTTGTCTGGGTTCAGCCTCAGCCCATTTTCCTGCATCCATTGCAGTACAGCCCCCAGGCAGCGGCTGAAGGGACTGGACGGCATCACCTACAGTTGGTGAAAAGGAGATGTAGAGCTGAGTGTCATCCGCATACTGATGACACGATGCTCCACATCCCCTGATGACCCCACCCAGCGGCCTCATGTAGATGTTAAATCGACCCTTGTGGAACCCCACAACAGAGACTCCACGGGGCCAAAACACTCTCCCCAAGCTGTACTCTCTGGGGACAGTCCTCCAAGAAGGAACGGAGCCAGGCAAGCGCCAAGCCAATTCCCAACTCAGAGAGCCTCCCCAGGGGGATACCGTGGTCGACGGTATCGAAGGCCGCCTAGATATCGAGGAGGAACAACAGAGACGTTTTGCCCCTGTCGGCCTCCCTCAACAGGTCATCGTACAAGGCGACCAATGCCGTCTCTGTACCGTGGCGCGGCCTGAAGCCCGACTGAAATGGGGGTCCAGGGCATCTGTTTCATCCAAGTGTGCTTGAAGCTGATCAGCGACCACCCTCTCGACCACTTTGCTCATGAAAGAAACAATGGCAACGGGCCTATAATAGCCAATTTCGTCCACTGCCATATTAAGTTTCTTTCTTATGGGCAGGTGTTTGTAAAAGTTTAAACTCGCTTTATGCTAGTTATTCCAACTGCAAACTGCTATTAAGTCTTTGTGATTTTTCCTCTGCAAGAAGAACTGTCTTATTGTTTTAAAAGGCCTACAACATAAATTGAGACATCTGCTTTCATAGCTAATCATCCACTGAAGACAGCATTTGCTTTTATGATGGCTCTGTAGGAGTCATTGTCACATTATTCGTTTCTTGCTTTGTTTGTCTAAAATTCAGATCCTGAATCCTTGAACAACAAGCATAAGTAGGTTAATTAAGTTCCTACCTTTCATTCGACACTACTTACTTTCAAATTAAGCCATTTTCTCTTAATTTGACGCTTTTGTTGGCCATTTCATAAGCACACGTCTTCATCATACATCAGCTACTGTTACCTCTTTTCTGCAGCTGTGCTTGGTTCCACATATTTCATTTCTCTCATTTAAGCTTCATTCAACAAACATTCAAGCACATCCTGAACTTCAGCTTCCCGGCAAAAGATCCCTTAAATCTTTTCTACCTGTCCACTAAATCTCTTGGGCATACAACTGAAAACTTAAGAGTTTGTTCTAAAATGTGTATCAAAGAATTGAACTTCAGGGCTGACCTTAGAGGATTAAGGGATTCTTATCATAGAATAATGGGTTGTACAGACAAGTCCAGCTCGACCACTTAGCCACCTTTAACTCAGCTGTTTTCCCAGAGGCTCTGCCCTCTTAATTCGATATTTTCTGTTTGTAAAAGTATACTTCTTCGAAAACTCTTTAAAAACATCAATGGCAAAATTAGATCAGAAAAAGAAAAATGGGGTATATTATTATTAAAATGGCATGAAGACAAGTTACTGAACCGATGAAGAAGCATAAATCCTAGACCAAAATTTACAGCTGAATGTGTTAAAATAAACATTGATGGCAACATACTGTACATTATTTATAATAATAAAGGGAAGGTATCCCTCTGCTCTCTTCCTGCCTGTTTCCAAAACTGTGCAATCTAGACATCTGAAACATGTCAAAGATACAAAGGATACTCTTGTGGGTGTGCATCATGGGGTTATTTAGCTTTAAAATGCATGAGTATAAACGTGTCCGCAGCATGCTTTAGCATTCTGAATCAGCAGGAAGAAGACATCAAACTTCTCAAGAATAAGAGACTCTCCAGAAGTGAGTGTACAGGGTTGCCCAAGGTCCTTCAGTGAGTACAGCTCTCCAGGACCGCTTTCAGATTTGATCCAAATCCTTCCAGCTGGTTTGGGATGGGTCTCTGGAGGGACAGTTACTTCAACCTTCATGTCCAGGTGTTCTGCTGCTAGAATACGGTGAGTCTTATCTCTAATAATACAACCGTCTTGTGAACATTGACTTTCTTTGTGTGAGTATACATGCTTGTACATTTATACTTATGGGTGCGCACACACATATGTATGCCTGTGGCTGTAGTGGACTGTAGCACATTGTGGATAAAGAGAGAAAATGGAAGGAGGTAGAGCCTTCTGGATGGGCATAAATAGGCCTTTTCTCTCCTTGAGCATGAAGTAGTCAAAAATGGGGCGGGGTGGGGGAATGACACTGTAGGGAGAGTAGAACACTTGGAAAAGAAAGAACAGCAAAAGAGACTCAACACCTAGCCTTATCTAGAGATGAAGCCCCAGGGAAGTCTGTGTCGTTCACCATTTCAGAGGATCTGTAGCCAGCTTTATGCACTGATTCCCCCTGCAGGGCCTCTGAACTCTTCAAACAGAGAGAAAGGATGCCAGCTGTCTGATAAGCTGTTCATCTCGGCACCACATGGGATCTTCTTACAAAAAAGGATCAATAGCCTTTTGGGACAGATGTCACCAAGGAGCAGAGAATTCCTGAAGCTTCTGGTCCACCGGGGAGAAGGTACCCTTAGCTGTCAAGTGCACTAGCAGTTGAAAGCACACAGAAGACTTGTCCTTACTTGATGGAAGGCCTGCCTGAAAAGACTGCTTAGGTGTAATGACCTGTTCATGAACAAAGCCTTCAAAAATGTCTGCAGTTGAAGCCAAGGTAAAGCTCTGGGAATTCAGACTGACAAGCCTCAGATCTGTACAAGAAGGTTGCCGGAAGCACTTCCTGTTTATACCAACAACTCTTGTAAGCCTTTTCAAGGTGTCTTGATTTCGGCTCCAGCAGATAGTTTTTTTCTGGTTCTTAAATCCCCTTTGTGGTTATGTAATTAAATCTATCTGTTGTCTGCAATGTCACTTCATTCACTAGATGGCAGATTTCCTTAGCCATTCCATTACTTTTATCAAGCACCTGACACTCCAGAGCGGCTCCTTACAAGACAGGAAGCAAACAGAATGAAAAAGACCAGATGCAGAACACTGAGCACTTGGTAAAACAAATGGTAAACACTACTTACTATGGTCAATGTAAAACGTATGCCTCCTGGGAATCGTAGTCTCACTGCCTTTAGGATCTATAGACCGGCACTTCCCAAAGAACTACAGTTTCCAGGAAGCACCGTGCCAGTGTGCTTTTTGTACATTAACATGAAGCAAATCCCGAGACAGCCATGCAGCCTTGGAAATATGCGTGAGTGAAATGAAGGGGAGTGAAATGCAGGTGGTCCGGAGGTGTGGGTCTGTGGGCTGGAACTTCCCGAATTCTGCCTGGAGAAGTGTAGGTGAATGAGAAGATGTAGGTCAAATCAATGTAACTCTCACGGCCTACAAACAGTGCAGTGCTGGTTCTTTCGTTTGGTCCTCTTTGGTGACTTTTGGAACCAGAAGTAAAGATTGGCTCTCTGGCTAGAATATTGCACGACCAGTGTTAGCTAAAGTTTTGCATGGGTTGCAATAGAAGAGTTATCTCTTTGGACCACAATCCAAGAATCTGCTTAAACTGACACAAGCAGTTATTTTCTAGGCACTGGTCTTAATATATTGTTCTGAAATCTCAGCTGCTCTAGATGCAGCCTTTTCTCTCTTTTTTAAATTTTTAAATTTTATTTTTTTGCTAAGGACATCGTGGCATTTGGATTTTTATTTTTTTACTCCTACTCCCAGAATGCTCCAAGAATTCTCCAGGCAGAATTCTGGGAGTGTAAGTAATCAAGGTTCAGGTTTAAGGAATGGAGAACACCACTAGAAGCACAAATTATGGACACACTGTTGTGTGCTCTGGTTTTAAATAGAAGTCCCAGTTAAAAACATGGGTCATTATTCTATTGTGGGGTTTTTTTTTCTCCACCTGAAGAAATGATGGGCAGGACACTTAGGCTAATTAAACAAGGTGCCGACCACATGCCTGGTGAATGCCGATCACACTATCAGCACGTGACCAGCTCCTCATAGCTTGTAACTTCTGCTGCTTTCCTTCTACATACAGGAAAATACAGTAGGATTCTGGCCATGCAACAGACAAACGGTTCAGGAACAATACACAAATCATTAATCAGAGATGAAAAATTCTACACTATGTAACATGCATGCACACACCAAGCACCAAAACTGAAAAAGTTACTAATCTTAAAATGATGCAGTTGTCAGAGTAACCAATCACTCTTGTGGACCTTGGAACTCCAACGGCATATAATCGCTTTTTAAAGTAAATTTCCAAGTGGTATTCTTACTCTATGAATAATTTCATCATCTAAACCTATCGCCTGCTCTTACTAAAGCTAGATTTTTCAAACCACACAAGTTAATTAACCTGACATCCAGTGTGAATTGGCTTTTAAACTCATTCTTTTTGTCTCCAACTCAGGGAAACTCAAATATATTAATATTGCATTGTCTCCTGGAAAATACATATATATTAAAAGCTGTGAGTTAGAAACCAAGCAGATAAAATTATTGCTGTAAAGCACAGGAAATACTGTTGTTGCTGGGTCAGATAGATGTTGCTTTACGCAAGCCTTTTATTGGCTCACAACTGCAAAGTACTGCATTTTACACACCCCTGTCTGTTTTCAGCAAGGTAATTTTCTTTCCTACCATTTTCCCTCTCCCAGTATAATTGTGTAGAAGAAGCAATGCTTTTGCTTTTAGTCACTGAGCACTTGTTCAGCAGTTCAGGGATAAAAGAAAAGAAGAAGGCCAGCACTGTAACACAAAGAACATAAGAAAAATGTTCAAAATAAATCATAAGATACTACTTCTTCCCCCACTCCCACAACATGCATAGCTCAATAATTTAGGTATCTGGCTGAAGAGCCAGAGGTTGGGGGTTCGATTCCCCACTGTGCCTCCTTGACAGGGGCTAGACTTGATGATCCATAAGATTGCTTACGGCTCTTCAGTTCTAAGATTATTATATTATCACCCATTATCATCACCCAAAAAGAAAAGCAGATTCAGAAAAGCAAGCAATAACTAAATAACAAAAAAAGGAAATTACATATCTTTAATTAGAAAACTGTATCTATATTTGGAATATACTTGTAGGATATTAGCTTTCTTTAAGTCTTACATTCTTGGGTGGATAGGAGTAAAATAAATGCTAAAATATTGTGGGGCAGTTGTATTTATTTACAACCAAATGTATCATTTTTGTTTTGCCAGTTCATTGACTGTGCCTTGAATACCACTGATACTTTTTCTTTTTTATTATTTTTCATTATCATACTACTAAAAACATAACATAAAAAAGTAACAATCAAGAATTAACAAATAAACTGCCCATTCACACTTCACTGCCATAATACCATATTTACAAGCAGTTAGGATGGCCACCTGCTAAAATCACCCAGACGGCAGGAAAAGAGGCCCAAGAGAAAGAAACCCCTACTGTAACATTTCATGGTTGACATGCATGTGCTAAGTTCTTACCTCTGCTCACAGCTGAAAGCTACATTAGGAAACACCAAATCTGCTAGAGCGGGGGTAGGAAATAATTTGCTTAGTTTTTAAAAATTATTTACGGACACTTTTGGATTTGAAAAATATGCCTCTTCAGTCCCTGCCAGCGGAGGACTGAAGAATTGTGTTCGTGCTCACAAAAATTGGGAGAGTTCTTTGTAAAGACAGAGATCCCTTATCTGATAAATTTTGCTCTCACATGTCCTCATGCCAACACCTGCAAAAGCCAACCTTATTTTTAAGCACCTTTAGAGGCACCAAATCCTCAGGAGTTACTGAGGCCAGACAACAAATGTACTGTATGTGATTTCCAGTCTCACATGTCATAGATTTAAACATAAAAGAAGAAAGTGTAACTCTAGACGCACTTTCTAAAAATAGAAAACTGCCTTTCAAAAGGACAGAGTATTCCCACCCCCCAGGGTTGCCTACTCTGACTCGCGACCGCTTTCTCGAGGACTAAACTGAAGACCTTCTGCATTCAACCCACGGGCTCTACCACGAGTCCTAATAGCTACAGATCATTTTCTTCACGCAGGCAAGTTAGTCTGAATTCTCCTGCTCAAAAACATAACCCTATAGAGATCCAGAAAACTGTGATCTGATTATTTATTTGGTTGTGGAAGGCACTGGTGTGCCTGGCATTTCGACACCTTAAGGAGCTTGTTATATTTTAATTCCAATTCCACACCTTCAAGAAGCCCTGTAAATGCATTTGTTTTGGTGAAAACACTCGCCACAGTATTAGCAGAAGCCGACTGCACAAAAGGGCCAATGATACAACAGTTTTTAAAGGAAACATTTTCAAAACAGTTCCGATTCTTTTTAAAAAAGAAAGAAAAAAAACCCTCCACCTGTTTATTTATATATCTTCTATGGTGAAAAGGTCAGTAGGAAATTCACCTTTAAGGCCACTGTTGCTAAGCAACCGCTTTCAGAAGTTCTGCAACACTGATCAAGCATATTATGTTCCACTGACTGGCTTCAGAATAAATATGAGTAACATCTTACCTGTTCTTCCATGTGAAGAGAGAAGAAGAGGCTTCTATTCCTACAGAACCTGCCGAGGATCCAACACCATTATACATGGCATTTCTAATCAAAGAAAAAAAGGATACGACCCGGGACCACTGGCTTCCTGTTCACGAGGGCAAAAGATAGTTCTGTCTTCAGAAACACAATAGAAGGCTTGATGAGATGCTGCCCAAACCGAAAGGACATGTTCAAATCTTCTGTGCACAGGATCTGTGGATGGAAGATGTTAAATCATCTGAACAATTACTGTGGTTGATATTCAAAGGCATAATGGACATAAATTATTATTCTGATTTCAGAAAATAGAACATACACAGAGTCACTGTAATGCACCATATTTTCTCTTTTCTTGGTTGTTTATCAAAGGAAGCCAGGCAACAGTATTTTCCGAGGCTACTAGATATCTTGTAGTTTGGATGGAAAGGGCTGCTATTTATTAGAGGATAGCTAAGTATACATCTATTGGGATGTTCATATCAGAGCAGGACGCAAGAACTTCTAAGAAGTAGAAAATATTTATGCATGCGCACACGCACAGGGAGACTATCAGATCTATAATGATACTTGCTATTACACACAGTGTGAAGCACTTAAAATTATGAAATACTTTAAAGGTGCAGATCTATTTGCAGAAGGAGCAAGTTGATATGACAGATTAAACATTGGCTTTTGTTTCCAGCAAAGTCATAAGATGCCCATATACTGCAGCTGCAAGCTTACCCTGAACATTTCACTTCTTATATTGCAATTGAATTGGATTAACAATAATTTTAAAATGGGGAAGTCAAAATGCTTCAGTGGGCACCTCTGTTCAATGGACATTGAACAGAGGTGGGGGTACTGCCGAGGCAAACACTTTGAAAATTGAATTACAGAAGGAGAAAAAGCGAAGCATAGGAAGCACACTAACAGAACTGAAGATGATGCTTCCTGCTATACTCAGAAATAATAAACACATTTAGCAGAAGGTTGATGACCTTGGAAATAAAGGCAAGATCGTATGCTTCAATAACCAAGGCTCCTGAGGAACAGAGAAGTGATGACCTGGAGGATTTTATTCTCACTCTCTGGCTGAATTAGTAGGGGCTACAGTACAAGTGGGACCTCAGTCTCTTTAACTGTAGCTCTTAGATTCTCTAAGGGAAAAATAATAAAATCCTACTCTAGAATGTAAAGTAATAGTATACTGTGGAATGTTTTAAGTTTTAGAAGGCAACAAATACAGAGACAAGCAAGAAGCAAAGTTAACCTTGTGCTTAAAGGGTTCAGATTTAAACCATATCATGAGACAGGTCTAGGATAAAAGAAAAGTGATCTCTTCAGGAGCCTGTTTACATTTCTCAAAAAATTTACAATATGTAGCCTTTTAATTTTAGCCGACTCAGGTCACATGGTTTTTGAGTTGTTTCCTGTGTTCCTACTGTTCTACTGTGCAATTCCCTTTTAAAACTGGAGGTAAAGTTCACTATGGGCTAAAGTCAATTAAGAAAACAGTGTGGTAAAATAAATACCCTTTTGATGTCCGTTTATTTTCACTTGCTCCCTAAGAAAATAATGCAAATCAGCAGAAAATAAATGTGTGCTTTAGAATTCATTGTGTGAACGTGAAACTAAGCATGTTTTTTTAATAAGGTAGCTCATGGATATCATAATAAATGAATAGATACTATAATAGATAGCCATAACTGTAATGCCTGTTGGCTTTCATTGGAGTTTGACAATTTTAAAAAAATGCTAAATCCAAACAAGTCCAGAAGTCCAAACATGAACATAAGTGCAGATGCAAAAGCCAGTCTTCTTGACCTAATCAGTTGATATTTGTTGGTTTAAGGATATATTATTGCTTGCTTCTTGTGCAAGAAAGAAGAGGTTCAAATAACAGGAAGCTTTTGTGATAGCTGGCTGGATGGCTCAGTGGTTCACATATCTGGCTGGGATGCCAGAGTCTGAGAGTTCAATTCCCCACTGTGTATTGGCCTTGGGCAAGCTGTACAGTCCCAGTTGCCCCCAGCAGAAGGGAATGGTAAATTACTTTGGAGTATTCTTTACCTAGAAAGCCCTGAAAATGATTGCCATAAATCAGAATTGACATGACAGCAGATGGTGATGATGATTTTGTGAGTGATAAAAACTGCACAATTCAAGGTCACAGCACATATGAACAAGGTCCCATGTCCAGTTCCCCAAGTCTCTGCCACAAGGATCCCAAGTAGCAAAGCTGCAACATTTGTTTTGAATCTTTGAAGAACCACTATAAGTTGGAGTAGGCAGTATCACTACATAGAGGGACCAAAGATCTGTCAGGCAAAAAGCAAATGCAGATCTTCATTTCTTAAATTTCCTTTAAGCCCCTGTATCTTCTTTAAATTATTAGTGTTAATAATAAATATAACCAATTAGCGTTAATATTCCCATGCAATGGTATGAATCCCACCATAATGGAAGCAAAGGTCCATTTTTGTTCTGAGAAAACATCTGTATATTTCTTGGCATTCTGCTATTACATTTATCGTTTATGTGGTAAATGAAGAAAGGGGTGGAAGAATAATTTACAATCACTGCCAGAAACTGGCATACAAATAACATTCGCAAGTGGATGGGGGAATGGGAAAGGAGCGAATTCCAGAGAACTAGCTATATCAGTCTTGTAACCACAAACACAATTTTAAACCTCAGAATTAACATCTTTTCCTCAGCATAACCTTTCCTAGATTGCAGCCCACTTCATCAGATGTTAGGTGGATAAGGAGAAACATGAACTGTACGAAGTTACTACTTGTTGTTTAGCCATTAAGTCATGTTTGACTCTTCGTGACCCCATGGATCGGAGCACACCAGGCCCTCCTGTCTTCCACTGCCTCCCGGAGTTGGGTCAAATTCATGTTGGTCGCTTTGATGACATCCTCTGTTGTCTCCTTCTCCTCTTGTCTTCACACTTTCACAACATCAGGGTCTTTCCAGGGAGTCTTCTCTTCTCATGAGATGGCCAAAGTATTGGAGCCTCCTTCCAGTGAGCACTCAGGGTTGAAAGTTACTGCTAGCATGCCAAAAAGTGATAGATGGATAACCTGTGGCAGTTAGATTCAATAGGAATGACATTTCAAAGGGAATGCTATGACAGCCCTGTGTCCCACCTACAGACAAAATGAAACCAAGCAAGAGGAAATCCCACAAGTTGTTGGCTTTTTTCTCATTCTCACCCAAACACAAAGCAATTGTGTTTTTTAACATGTGAATGATAATAAGTACAAGAAAGTATCTTGCAGATCATCTTGACTGCTATCAGTAGTACTGTCAACACTGAAGTTTCCTTTTGCTATGTAAAGTGTGTCTTTTCTCTTCCTGCTGTAACATGTGAACAATACTGTGCAACAGTATCAGGCCATTTCCTGGTGTTTCAAATAGTAGATGCCATATTCATAAACTGGAAGTGTTTGAAAAATTGAACTTCCTGGCTTTTAAAATAGTATACATTTACATGTACATAAACTACAAATTCCAATAGAAACTTCTCTCATGTAGAATTTCTCATTGCTAGAGGATCCAGAAGATCAGCACATGATTTCTACTATACATACGAGGAGAGGACAGCAGATAACAACTGGGATGTGCCTGTAGTCCCCTTGTGCTAAAATATTTAGAAGAGATGTTGGGAATTTAGTGAAATGGTGAAGCAAAGATATGAGGAAATACAGCACATAAAACAGGGAAAAATACACAGCCTTTACACTCTCAGGTAAACTAATGCTGCCGTGCCTGCCCCCTACAAATGTAGAATGAAAAGCAATCTTCCAGTTTCCAAACCCTTCCCCCCCCCTTGAAAAAAGGTTCCTTGCCTTTTGGAATTCAAATAAAAAAAAAAGGAAGGGCTCTAGATTTGCAAAGCTTGTCACTGGAAACTAAGGTCAAAATTATTTATCATATATAAAAGAACTCCTCCACAGTTTGCTGCCTTGTTGTGGCGAAGGGGCTTGAATAATTCAGAGAAGCTGTGGGCTATGCCGTGCAGGACAACCAAGACGGACAGGACATAGTGGAGAGTTCTGACTAAATGTGATCTACCTGGAGCAGGAACTGGCAAGGCACTCCAGTATCTTTGCCAAGAAAACTCCATGGACATAAATAAAAGGCTAAAAGATATGGCGCTGGAAGATGAGCCCTTCAGGTCGGAAGGCGTCCAACATGCTACTGAGGAAGAGCAGAGGACAAGGACAAGTAGCTCCAGAGCTAATGAAGTGGTTGGGCCAAAGCCGAAAGGATACTCAGCTGTGGACGCGCCTGGAAGTGAAAGGAAAGTCCGACGCTGCAAACACAAATACTGCATAGGAACCTGGAATGTAAGATCTATGAACCTTGGGAAGCTGGATGTGGTCAAACAGGAGATGGCAGGAATAAACATTGATATCCTGGGTGTCAGTGAACTAAAATGAATGGGAATAGGCAAATTCAATTCAGGAAATTATCACATCTACTATTCTGGGCAAGAATCCCATAGAAGAAATGGAGTAGCCCTTATAGTCAACAAAAGAGTGGGAATAGCTGTAATGAGATATACTGTACAGTAATCTCAAAAATGATAGAATGATTTCAATACAAGTCCAAGGCAGAACCTTTAAACATCACAGTAATCGAAATTTATGCACCAACCAATGATGCTGAAGAGACTAAAATTGACCAATTCTATGAAGACTTACAACACCTTCTAGAACTGACACCAAAGAAAGATATTCTTCTCATTATAGGGGACTGGAACACTAAAGTAGGGAGCCAAGAGATAAAAGGAACAACAGGTAAGTTTGGCCTTGGAGTTCAAAATGAAGCAGGGCAAAGGCTAATAGAGTTTTGTCAAGAGAACAAGCTGGTCATCACAAACACTCTTTTCCAACAACACAAGAGGCAAGCCTACACATGGAGATCACCAGATGGGCAATACCGAAATAAGATTGATTATGTTCTCTGCAGCCAAAGATGGAGACGCTCTATAGAGTAAGCAAAAACAAGACCCGGAGTTGATTGTCGCTCCGGTCATCAGCTTCTTATAGCAAAACTCAAGCTTAAACCGAAGAAAGTAGAAAAAACCACTGGGCTACTCAGGTATAATCTAAACCAAATCCCTTATGAATACACAGTGGAAGTGAAGAACAGATTTCAGGAACTCAATTTGGTGGACAGAGTGCCTGAAGAACTATGGATGGAGGCTCGTAACATTGTACTGGAGGCAGCAAAAAAAACATGCCATAGAAAAGGAAATGCAAGAAAGCAAAGCGACTGTCCAACGAGGACTTACAAATCGCAGAGAAGAGAAGGGAAACAAAATGCAAGGGAGATAGGAAAAGTTACAGAAAATTGAATGCGGACTCCAAAGAATAGCAAGGAGAGACAAAAGGGCCTTCTTAAATGAACAGTGTAAAGGGAAAATCACAGAAAGGGGAAAAACCAGAGATCTGTTCAAGAAAACTGGAGATATTAAAGGAACATTTTGTGCAAAGGTGGACATGCTAAAGGACAAAAATGGTATGGACCTAACAGAAGCACAATACATCAAGAAGAGGTGGCAAGAATACACAGATGAATTATACCAGAAAGATCTGGATGTCCTGGGCAACCCATATAGTGTGTTTCCTGACCTTGATCCAGACATCCTGGAGAGTGAAGTCAAGTACCGTATTTTTTGCACCATAAGACGCACTTTTTCTCCCCAAAAAACTGGGGGAAAACGTGCATGCGTCTTATGGAGCGAATACTGTCCCCTCCATGCCACCATCGCTGGCTTCCCAGGCCTCCGGAGGCCTCAGCAGGCCCCGTGGGGGCCTCCCCCAGCGACCATCGCTTGCT